TGGATGGATGGATGGATGGATGGATGGATGGATGGATGGATGGATGGCGCCGCACCGCCCAGGCGAAATGAAGTTGTTTTGACCATTAAATAAACACATAATAAATGCGACTTATACGCCAAAGCGACTTTTTTTTTCCTCTTCATGATGCCTTTTTTGACTGATGCGACTTCTACTCCAGAAAATACAATAATAGTATCTTGTATCGTACTGATCCACTGTTTCTGTTGTGTGTTACTCCAGCCCTGTGGCAGGATCAAATGGAAACTCCTGCTCTGAAGACCTGCAAGGTGGAGGAAGATCTGAGACCATGGACAGGTGAGGAACTGCCTTCTGTCTATTTGTGTTGTAACAATCAGCCCAAAACTCAACTCTGTGACTGCTGTCAGTGGCTAAATGAGAAAACTTCCTTAACTGAATGAATCTTACAGAAATTCTCACATTTAACATAGAAGTCTGTTTGTATTTTCTTCATACTACATCCCACAACCCCACCACCCTGCCTGGCTGCCTTTTTATTCATCATTTCCTCTCACTCCATCTTTCTTTTGTTTGTCTCTTGGCAATTTGGATTTTTATTGCTGTCTCTACAGCCCCCCCTCTGTGTTTAATCTGTCCCACCACACCAGACGTGCTGAGTCATCCACTTATTGTATAAAGAGGACCCACATCCAGACACAAAGACGAGGCTTTTTTGTATTTGGCTTATGGATTTTGCCCCATTTTCTGTAAGTTATCAAAACAAACTGGATTAGACCAAAAAAAAAAAAAGGCATTTAAGGTGTGAAAAAGTTGATGGTTGGAAAACTTGACTTAAAAATAAGGGCAACAAATGATCAGAGCTTTGTGATTTCCATGACAGCAGACGGGTCAGTAAACACATTTCATAGCAGTGGATTCACGATGGAGCATCATGTCTCTCACTGGGGAAAAAAAAAAAGATTTACTTAACAAATAAACATCATGTCACCTTGCTTGCTGATGCATTAGGAAAATGTTGTGTTTTTTCTATAATCACAAATTTCCTTCAGCATTGCTTGCATTGCATGTCACAAGTTGAGAACATGCAAAAATCCTCTGATTGAGCACTAACACGGATGAGGCTGTTGTCCAAGCTTTCGCAGCGTGGAGGTGATTGTTATTTGCATTGGACTTGATGCTCTGGCTCCAAAAGCTCGGCGCTTAAATAAACACCTGGAAATCGTTTGTGTTCATTTGAGTCTCCTATTCTTCATGCACAGAGGCGGCTTTGCCTTAGTGTTACGTTGCACTAACAATGTTCTGTTATAAGGCTCATCCCTTTGGCAACAAACCACCCAAACCAGTCAGCAATTTGAAACAAAAAGTTTTACTTGCTTTTTGAGAATTGCAATTTGTCTCTGCTACTGATAATTAATTTATTTAAATTGATCTTTACAACCGTGGAACAATGCTCAGTGACTCTTTGCACCTAGCTGGGTTTCTCTTTTTCCCCTCTTCCTTCCCTGCACTTATTTGCCTGAGCCACCATTCCCTACGTTCAGGTCATCACAGTTTGCATCAAGCTTGAGCAAACATTTCACAGGTGAGCGCCTGGATTTGCATCTTCTTATTGCCAGCCACCACATTTGGACACACATGCACACACACACATACATACTCTGGTGCACGATTACACACACAGACAGGATCGCCTCAAACCTGCCCTTATGTTAACAACCAAAATCAGTTTCTCCCATAAACAAATGAGACAAACCTCCTGCCATATCTGGGTTACACGCTTGACTGTGGACTAGTGGACTTCTTGAGCTAAACAAAAAGGAGGAAGCCTCGGCCATGAGAAGATTAACAAAACAAAGCGCATGGCGTTGTACACTTCTGAGCCAGAAGAAGGAAAGAAGGAGCGCTCAAACACGATGTTTCCAATAAAAGCCCCGATTCCCACCTACCCACTTTATACTGGGAACATCACAGAAAGCAGACTGTGCTAGCGAGCCCTCTGGGTTTCATCTCCTCTCCTGTCCCTGCAATTTAGTCAACACGTTTCAGATGAGACTAATGGAGATCATGTGTGGTTTTGTGCCGCTGCTACAGCCCACTACTCCTAGGCTCAGTCAGGAAGACCCTCTTGGCCAAAGATACACCGCTGTTACCACAGCCACAACAGCAAAGTCTGTACTTACAGTGGGTGGGGATGCAGTAAGGTATGCAACTTATTACGGGGGGAGAAAAAGCAGACCGCTTCTCAATTACATTACAGTTTGCTCAGCTTTCTCCTCCAGAGGGAGCTACTGTACTATAGAGGTTTAAAAGGTGGGAGCAGGCACCTTGTGGCTCACTGCCAAGAGCCTGAGCCTGAACAAGCCCATTAAGGTGTTGTGATAAGTGTCCAGTCCAGTTTCCCCTGACAGAGCGCAGGAGTCAATCCTCACCACAGTTTAGCCAAGACGTTTCCACCAACTCCAATCAACAGGGGACCATGAGCAGGGTGGGCTGCAGCAGTCAGGGCCATCATGTCCACCATGTGCCACCCCCCCCAAAAGACTAAATTTAGAACAGGCAGGGTGAGATGGAGGGACAAACACAAACAGAGGGAGCAAAGATTTTTTAGGAGTCCGGTAGGAAATAGTAGGCTGACTCCACTTCACCCGAATCAACAGCAGCTGATGGCTTGGATTTTCCTTGCATGAAATCAGATATGGAGTCGACTGCAGTTCCTGGTAGACTCTGGAAAAAGAAACAAGCCCCCCCGCCGCCACCAGCAAACTCCCTCCTCTCAAAAAAAAAAAGGGGGGGGGGGGGGGGGTCCAACTGCAGAAATGTGCTGTGAAGAAGGGATGAAAAAAAAAAGCATAGCAGGGGCCATGGAAATAGCAAAGGAGCTTTTTTTTTTTTTTTTTGTCGCCAGCTCTTCCAGACATAGTGAAAAGAGATTTCAACTACATTGTGGCACGCAAGTTTGGCATTCTCCCCCCCTCGGGGCTGTGGCGTGCAAGCGCTTGCTATTTCACAAACACAAGCACTCTTTTCTCTGCCATCTAAATTCCTATTTTACACTTGCAGTCAGGCGGGTGCATTGGACCCAAAAGAGCCACATGTGGACAAACAAGTAAGCCCAGAGCGAGGTGTAAGGCTCTGAGTGAGTGTGCAAGCGGCAGGTGAATGCTATGATAAAATCATCATGTATGAGGGACCTTCTGAGGGCGGTTACCTCCTTTGACCACCTAACTTTCTTTTTAAAGTATTTTAAAAGTCATGAGCACAAAGGTTTAAGTAGCTTGACTTGTCAAGTTTGGCTTAAATTTTCACATATGAGATGAGTTATAGCCTTATAAGCCAAATCAAAAAGGTATGATTGAATTTCTTTTAAAAACAATGGCAAACCTTTAAGTTGCTATAAAACTCTTAAAAAACAGACATAAATGAAGATTAAAAAGAGGAACATCTGGTGTTTGAGTTAAGAAGTTTGGTGACAGTAGCTGACAGTAGCAAGATAAATTATAAAGTACAGCTAGGATCAGCTTAAACTTCAACGTTTAGCTCTGACAAATCCTGATTTCACTGATTTACAGATGCACCTACTGTATACAGAAGCTCGTTATCTTTTAGCTCCATCCTCTTCTTTGCATCCCTGTCTCTCTGACTGTCTCCAGCTGTGGTCGTCTGCTTATGTCCCACCTAAGTATGATGTATGACATGTTGCACAACAGTACAAGACGTCAGTGTTTATACAAAGCACCCCTCAGGGCTGACAATGCTTCTTTTCATTGCTCTGAGGAAAAGAGCAAAGCTGCACGTTGATCTCCTTTTGAAGGACTGGCAGGGGGGCTGTGGCGGTGGGGCCTTTTCATAACTTCGGTCTTGTGCATGGGGCTGTGGGATGATGTGCTGTCAGTGCGTGATGACTGTTACCGAGCCAAAGAAATGTCTCAGTTCATTACTTCGGAGCAAGTGTTTCCATGAAGCGGCATATCGCGGGAAATCTGAGAACAGAATTGGGGGCGTTCAGGAAGGTTTGCCGCTTGAGAAAATTTGGGAAATTTTTCAGAATAATAGATTTCTCATTTTCAGTTTTTCATAGCTGGAACAGCAGTTTTCAATCATTTTTAACCGTTTGTGCGTGTGTCTCCAACAGGGACTACAGATCTCTTTCCACAGAGGACCTCCTTCCCGTCTCTGTCACCGCTGACTGACCCTCGCTTCTCGGACCCCCGTATGCACTACCCGGGGGCCTTCCCTTACTCTGCCAACACCTCCAGCACCGGCATCAGCGGCCTTAGCATGTCAGCCTCTTCTAGATACCACACCTACCTGCCCCCACCCTATTCAAACAACCAGTCCCAAAACTTCCAGTCCAACTCCTACCTGTATTACGGCACAGGTTCTGGATCCTACCAGTTCTCCATGGTGGCACCGGGGAACGCCGGAGGTGAACGCTCCCCAACCCGCTTGCTGTCCTGCTCGGGAGCAACGGGCGCTGGAGGGACCAACAGCCTGATGAACCCCGGCCTGAGCGCCCAGAGCGAGGGCGTGGAGGCCGACGGCAGCCACAGCAACTCCCCCACAGCCATGAGCGTCTCGGGTCGCTTGGATGAATCCGTCTGGAGGCCTTACTGACTAACACAGCTAGACAATTAAAGAACAGGAGAGGAGAGAACCGTGACGAGAATGATGAACAAAGAAGCTGAACACTGAACAAATAGAAAACGGGGAAAATAAAAGCGTTGCATGTCTGTCTTTGTTTCCCTCCAACGACCATTTTAAAGACTTTTGCTTTTAGGAACTCTCTCAAGAGTTTTCTGTATTTTGTCATGTTCGAACGAGCTCCTGCACTGCGCCGGAACCTGTTCAAGAGTTGAGGCAACGTTCAGCGGAGACTGTACATGGGGTGAAAGACCGTCGCAGCGTTTCACGATCAGCCTGGTGTCGACAGATACTCGTCAAAAGACAAACGAACAACAGAGGGGAGGTTCAAACAATCAGTACGGCTGATATACTGAGAAACCACAGCAGACTTTAAACAAACAGACTGTTTAGACTGATCCGGCTGAACTTGGCAGGTGGAGAAGTCAAACTGGTTGTTTCCTCCATGAGTGATTCCTTGCAAAGGCATGGCTGCACTGCTGTAGCACTCGGTCCCTTTAAGCTTTCATTTTTGTAAAATTTGAATATTGCAAACATGCATCAGCTGCATCCAGGGCTGTTTCGTGTGCTCAAAGTACTTATACAGGACCTGTCTATTTATTATCCAAACAGAGACGCAAGTGTTTGGGTCTTCAGTGGATGTCTCTGTAAAGGTGTCGCATTATAAGAAAAGCATTTTTCGCTGGTTTGCCACATTAATTCTGTTGTTTCTGTGCATCAACCATGTTAGGAATGTTTAAATGAAAAACAGAGGAGGGTTTACTGTTTTATTTTCCAAGTCCTTTTGTGTCTACTTCCTTTTTTTTTTTTATTCAAGCTGTTTCTTTAAAAAAGAAGTCCTGATTTGATATTTTGAACTGGATAAGATGGTTTACTTTTGATATTTATTTGAGCCAAATTTTGGGGGGAAATGTATACAGAAACCCCAAATCCTTAAGCATTTCTCTTTTCTTTTCTTTTTTTACATAAATATATAAACAGTACATACGCCATGTTTTGTTGTTAAGTATGAATTTGGAATTTGTGTAATATATTGCTACTAAATTATGAAAAACAAAACCTTTTAATGTAATTATTTTTGCCTTCTAATGTAGCTTTGATGCACTAAAACCTTTATTCCAAAAGCCCAAAAGATTCTGTTGGTAAGATATGTATTGCCAAAAACTTTTAAAGCAATTTTCAAATTGCCTTCCTTCTCCAAGAAAAAAGAAACAAAAAAATTTTTAAAAAAAAGAAGCCATTAGCTATGTTTTTGCACTATTTTTTTTTTTACTTTAAATTTCTCTTTACTGCAGTTAATGTCTCAAAGTGTGCAGAACAAAAATATGAAATATTTCTGCACATATCTTTCAAACCTAACAGATTGTTTTGCTAAGTAAATGTATGATTACACATATTCCTGCACCACAGGTGTGTCTGCACATTCCTGCTGTCCTCGGGGCCTTTCCCCTGCAGCTGTGACGATGAAGTGACAGAAAGAAGAGGCGGTGGTCCAGAGTGGTATCTTTATACCAAAACTGAGGGCAGCTGTGCAACAAAATGTTTTTTACAAGAAGAAAAGTCTTGTTCTGCTTAGAGCTCTTTGCTCTGAATAGTCACCGAGTGGTTTGATGCCTTTGTGGCCACGATTCAGTGTCTTCCTTGTCGAATTTACTGATCGTGCGCCGCGTTCCGCTTCAGCAGATATCAGCTGTCTTGAAAAGTCAGGTAGCATTAATGTCTAAAAGATGGACACAGTTTAGGGTTTTATTTCAAAGTGAAGAGTGATCCAAAGAAGCAAGCATTTGCAGCTCAGATAAAAGATAATGCAGGCTGCTTTTGAAGACTCATTGCCTTATTCCTGCCTTTAAAGAAAAGCCACGAGTCTCATTCCTGCTCTTTCTTTTAGAGGAGAAGCATGCTCCGTCCTCCAACGCGGTGATAACCTGACTTTATAATGGGTAAGAATCCTGCAGCTAGAGAAACCACATAACCTGTGTGGTTACTTCCAAAAGAAACCAAAGATATACCCAACTGCCTGTTTAAATGTTAATAATGAGGTGTGTGGCGAATTAGTCATGAATGTTCTTTAATGCCTTTTTATGCAAAACTAGGAAGCCAAAATGTACAAGTAAATTGTACTTTGTGTATTTCATTAAAAAGCACAATGCTACAATAATTTTGATTCTTTTCAAAAGATCTTTTTTGTTGTTTCTTTTGTATTCCATATTGTTGTTTTTTCCTCTCTTCAGCTCCCTTTATGCTCAAAGCATGTACATCTGAAACTGATATGTTAATTTAAAAATCTCATCTATCTATGTGACGATACCGTAACTGCTTCAATAAGAGTGCTTGTAAAGTTTGCAGATAATGTAGTTTTTAATCATTTTAATTAAAAAAAAATGTGTCACATGTCTGACTCATGTCTGCTTTTTATTCGTTCAACAAATGTAAATATTTTGTTTTATAGTTTTCTATGATAAACAGTATTAAATATTTACAATGAAATACATATTTTTAAATCATGTTTTTTGTAATATTCAGAATTTTTCTCATGCATTTCGTAGAAGGCGCTTTGACTTCTTGATAACTATTATGTGGCTTTCTGAAAAACTAAAACGAACCCTAATTTATTCTAATCCAACCTTAATTTTCAATAAATTATCAAATGAAATCAAACCGTTTGATTGAAAATACAACTGATGTTTCAGTTTTGTTACGTTTCATTTGAGCATCTGCATTCAAGGACTTGCACCTTAAATCAGATTTGATTTTTTTTTTTTTTTTGTACATCTCGACTGTAGGAGAAAGACAGAAAACACCAGGTTGGTCTTTGTTTATATGAAATACTAAATTATTTTTGGTGCATATAAAAAAGGTTTTTCTTTTTTTTTTGCT